CCGACCCCCTCAGCCCGCGCCCTCAACGTTTACGAGACAATTTGCAGGGAAGTTGCGAATGCGCTCTCGGAACGTCTCAATTGAATGTATTTAAATCAAAAGGAACTATCTCGAATGTGCCTTGGGCCGTTAGGTGCATTGGAATATATGCGTGTAAGGGTCCATGTTACAATGGAGATAGTTCCTTTTTGGATTTTAATACGTCTCATTCCTGGTGCTCGGTGCACGGTGCCCCGACGAATGCGGAGCATCCGGTAAAGGGCGGCTCGAGGGCCCTGGTCGTTCTTCGCCCACGTGGTCGTCACGTTGCGAAGTTTGGTCTCGGTGGCCGATGAGTTTCTCGCTGACAGCATTTCAAGGAAGCAAAAACTGGTTTTGGTGAAAAATGACTTAAATCACAATATACGCAATCGAAGCACTGGTCTTCGATGCATCAATGATCTTTTTCGGAACCTTTTAATTATTGTATTTTTGGAAAGTTGAGAGTGAGCTGAATCAAATGAAATCATCTGATACGTACAATTTGCGTGCATTGTAGTATTATACACTGAGGGAAAAAACACATTGGATCTAGAGTCCAGACTCTTAAAAACATCGACAAGAAAAGGTACTCTTGATTCAATCGGATTTTCGCTTAAATCAAGAACCAAGCCTCTAACATATAATTTGAGCGGATTTCATTTTGATTTAAGCAAAAATCTGATGGAACCAAGAGTATTTTTTCCTGTCAATGTTTTCAAGAGTCTGGACTCTAGATCCAATGTATATTTTTCCAGTGATAAAGACATCTTAATAATTTTTTATTGACTTTTTTTCCCACCTCTATCATGGTAAAATTCGTTGCTGATGACAGGCAAAAAATGCTGGAAGTTTTCCTAAACTTTGAGTATATTTGATGCAGCTTTGCAAATGCGTCATGAAGTCGATTGTACAATATTTTACCGGTGCTCAGCGTGATTTTTATGTAAATTTACTCACAAGCAAACTCCACTTTTAGGGGTAATTTTATGATCAACTAGCCTAGTTTTTTATATTTTGTTTTTCTCCGTTTACTCTATTCTTAATGGAGATGAAATGTCGACAAAACGAGGGTCGTCAGATTTGAAAGTTTTAGCCTTTTGCAAGTAACAATAAGCCTCTTATCTTAATATAGTATGAGAATCAAATGCTAAACTATCGGAGTCAGAGTTCTGCGTGCATAAAAACTCGTTTTCACACCTGTAATCTTGCAATAGTGGAGCATAATTTTAAGCTTGCACCCATGCATCTGTATGTGTATCTGTGAAATATAGCAGTGCTACCCTATAAGGAGCATCATCCTGCAGTTCAAGCAATTGCACACTTTCTTCGGGCACGGCTGTCACATTGCGGCACACAGTGAGATTTGTATCGAGGAATCACGAAAAATAGGAGACCCTCTACAAAGTTGCCACTCGATGAATTAATATTACCTCTTTTCAGTGTTAATTTTAAGATTATAAAAATATTGGCAACTTCGGTCTTTAAAATGAAAACTGAATATACATACAGCTTCTCTTGCGAGGCTTTCCACAAAAATTGTGCGCACTTAATGATTTACGTCATGTGTAGGTTATAACGAGAAATGCGACACCTCTTACTCATGGCGATCGCAATATCGCATGTGGTAAGTCACAATTGGATGTATTTCTATCAAACAGAACTACGTGCATTAAGACATGAGCCCTGAGACTCATAAAAATATATGCATAACAGGGCTCATGTCTTCATGCACATAGTTCTGTTTGATAGATATACGTCCAATTTTTGATTGCTTGAGTCACGAAGTACTTTTAATCATGATGGAACACTATCATCACATAAGTTGTTAAAAAATCAAGTGCAGTTTCATGTCGGAAACTATTTTCATTTGCGTCAAGTTGCGCTAAAAGCTCCTAGAAAGTGATCGGTTGAACTTTGACCTCATTTACTGTCTCTCCATCCTGAAAACAGGTGGTGTTAGCTATATTGCGGAATTTTCCATGAAATCTCAAATTATTCAAATTCCATTCACAGAACCCTCTAAGTTATCCACCTTAAGTGAAATTAATTCAGAAAATGCCTTTGGGTTATCCATATTGTATTTCCAGCCAAAGATGTTGCCAGACGTGGTGATATTTTCACCAACGTGCGTTGACATTCAGCATTAAACTGAAATGCTCATTGCGCTGCACTGATGTTGGATCCAACTCCAATACAAGTAGATCCGAAACGTGGCTGCAGTTGCTCCCTTTATTGATTGTAACAGCATTTCCCTATGGGGAAAATCGTGCTCAAATAAGCTTTTCCCCTCTCTAATGGGGATTTCGGTTTAATACTATTTGAGGTGGGTTGACGAAATAGCAGCACATATGTCAAAATAACTCATGTGTCGAACCGCTCCTATTTTGTGAAAGACGTGGACTTACGTTATTTACGCATCATATTACGTAAAATATTTACGCATCATTTTTACGTTTTTGTTTCCATCTGTAGAATGAGGAGCTTGTCTACCAACACCAAAAATCCTTTGTCAAAAAATTAAGTCTACGCCTTGATGCAAAACATTTAGAGTTAATATTCCCTCTCATTATTTCTAAATATTATCTCTAATAAATTATAATGTATCGCATTATCTCTAATGCTTCTATAATACACACTATTCCGATAGTTTCATTTTCTATTAACCCAGATATAATAGTTATTCAAATCTAACTAGTTTATAAAACTATTAATATGTGAAATTAAAGATAACTTAAATAAGTTTTTTAACCGTGCATAACAGCACGAATGGCAACCCTTCAATAAAGCCTTTTATTTTAATTTAAGGGATTTTGTTTTTTGTTGTTGTTTTTTTTATTCTTTCAATTTTCCCATCTTTTCCCAGAGCTTGAAGTTATGCAACACGATCTCTCGACATGTGTGCATGTGCGTTCAAGTAACTGAAATGAAAAATGACCATCGTAGTCGCAAGTTACTCGACGCCTCGAAGTTTTTACGTTTGATTCGCCTGGTTTCCGATACGTGTTTCCACGGGCGCTGCTCACTCATTCGTGAACGAAAAGATGAATCATGTCATCGGATTTTACAAACGTCGCAATTTCACCTCGCGTTGCCGAGACTCACATAAAAAGTAAATAAAATTAAAAGGAAAAGTTAAGAAATAAAACTGGTTTTTCTTCTAAGTTACGGAACAGCACAGGGCGTAATTCATGGAAGAGATCTTTTCATACATGGTTCACTGGGAAAAAACACATTGGATCTAGAGTCCAGACTCTTAAAAACATCGACAAGAAAAAATACTCTTCATTCAATCAGATTTAAGCTTAAATCAAGAACCAAGCTCCTTAATTTGAGCGGATTTTCTTTTGATTTAAGTTTAAATTTGATCGAATCAAGAGTCCTTTTTCTTGTCAATGTTTTCAAGAGTCTGGACTCTAGATCCAATGCGTTTTTTTTCCAGTGTTTTAAAATGGACGACACACAGGGCTGCACTCGTGCTGGGGCAAAAAGCTGAATGAGTAATTGAATATTGTCAAAGATTTCTTGGATGAAATATCTTTAATTGGGCAAAAACTATCGATTCATTTATTTTCTGAAAATGTTCATATACACTAAACTAAACTTTAGACCAAACAATCTGAAAACTCCAAAGGTAAAAATTCGGAATAATTTTCAAAATTGTATTGATTGTGCTTGTTACCAACGGTAACATTAGAATAAATAAATAATAAAGCATTAGAATTAATCATTCCGAGACCAACACAAAACAAACGAAATTACAAATATGCGGACTTTACTTTAAAATTTATGCTTTCAGATTGCGATTTTACTACTTTGACTGATAAAATATACTACAAATATATTTCAAATGAAACCTCAAAGAAGACGCGCACAGTGCCGGAGAAAAAGTAAGTAGTGCACAACATCAAGGGCAATATGCAGTATGCACCTCTAGGCTCACAACGCGCAACATCGTTTAGTAGCTCATTCAAAGCTCATGAAGGGGCATACTATTGTGCGCTCATCGATTTGAAAAGTATTTAAGCTCTCCCGTATTTTTGCTGCCTATGCAAAAAATGAAGGCGAACCTCAATTGGACGAGTTCTGCCAATAAGTCTGCACATGATCTATAGCTCCATCAAAGTTTATGGAGCAAGATTAATGTGTGTTTCTCAAATAGATAACTGTTCGAGCTCCG